TTAAGCGCCTCATCCAAAGTACCAATCTGGTAACTCCATCTGAGGACCGTTTTGGCCAGCATATTATTCTCAACTGGCCACACTTTTGATTTCAGTCTTTCGCGGCGTGGTTTCAAGAGCAGTCGATCTTGCGTGCCATTCTTTTGTTCTCCATTTAATATATAATAAACTTATGTATATGTATTAATCCGAAACGGCTAAAGTCTACTTATTTAATCCGGATACTCATGCACCTGCGTTGGGGGAAAATCCCAACAGTTTGCTGCAGAATAACTTACTGTTGAAAGCTACTATGCTTGATCGTTTCAAAAAAAAAATACTTCGATATGTCTCTTCTCGTGAAAATTGTCTCCGATGAAATCATTAAGCAGATGGTTGAAAATAAACAAACAGAAACACTGCCTTCGTCTGAACTAGAAATAGATAGCTGAGAAGAGGACATGGTCGCATTAAGCATACAGGAAAGTTTTCTATATCTGCACAACAAGACTATAGAACTTCGAAGTCAAGAGTTCCGAAAGAAAGGAAATGCAGCTTTTCTTTAAAATGTCATTTTGTAGTTGCGAGACAAGCCCTATGAAATTCTGGATCTCCCAAATGTCAACTATGCCCATGCTAGCGAAGGTGGCATTAAGTTGCCTGATCACGCCTGGTAGTTCGGTTTCATCTGAAGTGTTTGCTTCTGCTATAAAGTGTGTTGTTTGTGAATCCCGTAGTCGTATGACAGACCAGGATGTAACCGAACGAGTTTTTCTATAATCATTATAAATAGATTTGTATTAAATAAAACCACTCACTGGTCTATACCATATCCTTCATAATGTTGTTATTATTGTTCTATACCAAGGATCGTAAATAAGAGTTGCTTGAGAGCAGGTATAATATTTGTTTTTTTAAGTTCGATGATTTCTATTCACTTCTTAAATAATGAACTAGCTGATTAATGAGAACTGCATTAGAGTATCATAGGGCCATTAGGATTAATAACACTTTAGGGTTGTTGGTTTTTAAAAAAAATATCGTATTGATGATATTTGCTGTTAAAAAAATATAACTCGATGATATTAAAAAATATCATAAAAAAATATCGATATATCGATTTTTTTGGTATTTTTTAAAATTAAAATTGATAAAATTTCTTGTTTCTGAAAATTTGGTTAAATTTTGAGCCTAAAAATCGTTATATTTGATTTCATCAACCATTAACAGCAAATAAGGGCCATTTGAGACATAATAGACTGTTTTTAATTTAAAATGTGAATAGAAATCCTCGAACTTAAAATACAAATATTATACCCGCTCTCAAGCAACTCTTATTTACGATCCTTGGTATAGAAAAATAATAACAACATTTTGAAGGATATGGTATAGACCAGCGATGGGCACGCCGTGGCTCAATTTGCTCACGCTGCTCAAACCGTTATCTTTTTTCGGAGGCGCCAGCATGTCGCACAATTGCAGACGCACAAGTGCAGTGCTCGCGATCAGCGAACCGTGAAGATTTACATTGTAAATTTTACAAAAACAACCACACTGACCTTTGGCGCAGGTAGCGAGCCCATCGCCGCGATCCCGAGTTTGCAACAACAAAACACAAGCGACCCGAACTCGCACATCGTCCCAAAAACAAGAACAATTTTAAAGGGAACTGTGCGGCTAGCGTTGACTTCTGCACTAAAGAAAAAAGTTTGGATTTTTTTTGCAGTCGTTTTTCTTAGGCGGACATAAATGCACGCAAAAATTGCTGAAGATATTGATCTACTCAAAAAGTTTTTGTCAGTGTATTTTCTCGGCTCGCACATTCTGTGTGTCGCGTGGGTGCGACGCACAGTAGCGCCTTTTCTCATTTATGCTGATATGACACAGCCGCATTAATTAGAGACTTCATTAAAGATTTGACAGCGCTATAGCGTTTTACACAAGTGCGAGCAAGACGACTATATGGCGCTCTAATGCATTAGAATAATGCATTAGCTACTTCATTGGAGCGATAATCGATAGATCTACATATTATATACTAGATACTCGATAACAAAATACGGGTTTAATGAAGAAAATTGTAATTGAAAAATGTATTAGCCAGCTCATTGACAGTATGGTCTCACAATGAGATATTTATTTTTATATAATTTCGCTGGTTTTTTTAACTGAAAAAATATTAGAAAATTAGGAAAAATAATATGTTTTGCGGTGGCAAGGTTCTTGCGCTGTAAATTTAATTTAAAATTTTTTTTTTGGTAATAATTAAAAAAATTTTAAGCATTATAGGTTAAAAACATAAATTTAAAGGATTCTGCATTTATTTATGCAAGAATACTTCGACGAGGAATTCAGAAATTCATAGTAATACGCCGCGAATGGCGGCCGTTTTTATGTTTACCTTTTACGGACGATGTGACCGTAGTCGTATTACCAAAATAATCCAAGCAAAATTCAAGCCAAATTACACAAAATTACACATATAGTGGTCTCTTTCAAGGTTCTAATGAAGTAGCTAATTAATGAAAACTGCATTAGTGTATCATATGGGCATTAGCGTTGCAAAAATCATATCTTTTGAACCAAATAAGATAATCGAATAATTTAAACGGCATTGGACAGGTAATTGTTGTAAAATATATATATGTACTGCATAAAGTACCACGCCCACAAATACGCCTTTTTAAAGGGTATCAAAGTGAAAAAATAATTTTTTTTCAATGAAAACAATTTTTAAACAAAAATTTTTATTTAATTTTTTATGTTTATTTTTATGTATTTGCTCAAATAAAAATAATTTGAAAAACAAAATTTTTTTTTAATTCGAAGTGTAACCGCCACGCGCTACAGTTAGTATATTTCTAGAAATGTATGAAATTGTGTCGGTATTTTGGTATATTTTACCCTGAGTTGTTTTGGTTTTTTGCGTTGCATTTCCGCAGACGCAGCTCGACGCAGCCGATGAAAGTTAATTCTGGTTCAGGAAAGATCCACGTAACTTGTAGACATAGTGTAGTCAGTGGCTTTCATTGGCGTCAGAAGATATAGACTACTTTAGGCAGAAAAAGGTGAAAAAAATTGACACCTGGCAGGTAGCGATTTACCTGTAGAAGCCCAAATCAAAGTGTCGTTTTTTTAGGTTCTTTAATAGTTTATGAATGTATCTATCATTTAAAGTAAAAACCATGACCATTGGTTTTATGGTTTTTTTGTAATATTACCTGAAAGTCGACCAATTTACACATTTTTTTGTATGATGCAAAAAACGAAACAAAGTTCAACTTTAAATGCTCATAACTTCTACAAAAAAAAATCTTAAAATTGATTTTATTGCAGATTCTGAATCCTTGTTAAATTTCCTGTCGAATAAGTATGGTTAAAATCGTTTTTGCGAACATGACTTTTTCGATTTTTGCAACGCTAATTGTTCGAGAGGCGCTACTGTGCGACGGTTCGCAACGCTGGGGGTTGTTGTTGTTTTTTTTTTTTCAGCGAGCTGCTGCTCAAACCGTTAGATCTCGTGCCCATCGCTGGTATAGACCATTGAGTGGTTTTATTTAATACAAATCTGTTTTTAATGATTTAAGAAAAACTTGTTCGGTTACATGCTGGTCTGTCATAACAAAAATTAAGTTGTCACATATGTATTAGCTAGGATGTACATAAATTTCTGTGTGTGTGCGTTCTTTCCCGCGAAATTTACAGTGTATGTTTGTTTACACATGTATGTATGCAAGTTTGTGCGTGTTTTTCAGATCTTGCATTTACATCGGAATAAAAATCTTTTGCCGCACTCATTTTATTCGCGTCGTTTTCAATTTCGGGCATAAGAGTGACCAAATATAAAAAAAAATCGGAAATATCATCTCAAAAAAATATCATTATCGCCTATTTTTGCCCAAAAAATATCGCGATGATAATATTTTTTTTAAGAGAAAAAATATCTATATATTGATATATTTCCGACATCCCTAATGTAGAGATAAGATACCACTTCATTCGTCAGATTGTAAATGACGGTCAGATTGTTTTGAAATATGCTTCTACGGTTTTCCTTCTCAATATAGCGGCCATCGGGTCGATCGGAAAATTAAAAGAAATGATAACTTTTTTGTTTTTCAACTTATTTTAATTTCCGATTCCAAGGACATACAAACTTCGGTGTGCCGAAGTTAGCTTCCTTTTTTATACCCTTGCAGGGTATTATAATTTTATTCAGAAGTTTGCAACGCAGTGAAGGAGACCTTTCCGACCCTATAAAGTATATATATTCTTGATCAGCATCAACAGCCGAGTTGATCTAGCCATGTCTGTCTGTCCGTCCGTCTGTCCGTCCGTCTGCCCGTCTATCCGTTTCTACGCAAACTAGTCCCTCAGTTTTAAAGCTATCTGAATGAAACTTTGCATTTAGTCTTCTATATACTCTCACTGCTATATATGTCGGAACGGGCAGGATCGGACGACTATATCATATAGCTGCCATACAAATGTTCGATAAATTTTTAGAAAAAAATGAGAAATGGCCATTTTATAGTATTTCAGATTTTCTGTGTTAATCGGACGACTATATCTCATAGCTGCCATACGAACGATCAGGAAATTAATACGAAAAAAATTATAACTTCGTTGTTTTTCAATGTATTTTCATCTACTCTAAGATATAGGTTTATTTTATTATTTCAGAATTTTGGTATAAATTGTAATGAAACTCTGTTTTGTGTGTGTTTTCAGCATTATAATTTATAATGTAAATATCAAAACTAATCTGCAAGGGTATACAAACTTCGGCATGGCGAAGTTAGCTTCCTTTCTTGTTTTTTCTTATTTTTATATAATTACTATAACAATAAATTCAAATAAATTATAAAAACATACAAAAGAGGCATGCATTTAGTTTTAACAAAATCAAATGACTGTTTTTTTTTATCTATCTGCCATAAGAGATCGAGTAAATGTTATGGCTGAATTAACGTCAATGGAATTAACAAACTAATAATACTCTTATATTTTCACAGACTACAGCATGGTGAACTTTATAAAACCATTGTATCTTGGAACAGAACGAGAGTTTGCTAATTTATACGCAAATCCTATAAAAAACGGTCAGCATAAAGACTCAAGTAAAAAAGATATTACAATTATGAAACAACGATCGTATGTGCTTCACAAAAAACTATCCAAATTTGTTCAGGTAACGCATTTATAGTTCAATCTATTATATACAAATAAGTCGGGTTTTCCTTCCTGATCCTATTGCATTCGTTGGAAAGGTTACGGGCTTCGTGAGTTTTGCAGCAAAGAAAATTCAGGAAAAATTTCAACAGAAAAGCGGGAAAATCATTTTTCGCATACAGCGCCATCTCTGATACATATGGTATCATTCCACTATTCATTGCTCAGTTTATTTCATGTGACAAACCGAAATTCTGTTCAATATAAGTTTCGTTTCATAACATTTCAATTGGAAACCAGCATTTGTCTTTAAGGTGGTAAGTTGAACTGTGTAAATTATGTGGATTTGAGGTTAAATTAACCGCTCTGTCTATAGTCCAAAATGCACAGAGCACGACGTTCGAACATCGGCAGCCGCTCAAGGCACGCAACCAGCAACAAGTGTACAAGAATTATGCGATGAAAGACAAAATATAGTAAGGGAATATAACCGATTAAGACAACGCGTAAGCACACAAATATCATCATACAATCGTTTGGCTTTCCTATATTATCCCACTGCGAAGGACAGTGATGATGAAAATTTAGATATTGGACATATGACGACTATATGCCCATATTGCATATATTGCATAAAGTTAAAAAAAAAACAGCTGGATTGTGCTGCGCAAGTGGTAAAATCAAACTGAAACCATTACTTAAACCACCACAGTCACTGAAACCATTGTTCGATGGAAGTGATTCAGACTCCAGCCATTTACTTCAAAACATACGCATGACTTCCTTAGGAGCTAATATCATTCGAGAAGGTGGCTTCATGCCGACTTGCAAAAGATACAACAGACATAACCAATCACAATGAATTGCAACACATAAAAACTACATATACACCACACATCACACGATTCTTCAACAAATGATGATGAACAATTACAGATACAACGACTAATATATCATTTGCGTGCTTCAATAGTGCCAACACCGGATGATTTCTGCAAATATATTTTATTTCGACCATGGTGGATCAGCTGAATGTGCGGTGCAATATTCAGGGAACACAACAGTTAAAGAGACGAATTATTGAACAGTTGCAAGCATTTTATCACGCTAATAATGCTGTAGTTAATATGTTCAACACAGCATTGGAACGAATGTCATAGGATACGCACAAATTTGTTATAAGAGCGGATAGTACCCCAGTAGGTAAACATGTGCGAAGGTTCTTATTCTTCCTTTAAAGTGAACGGACGTAATATTTTCTTCCGAATTTGCCTTAAAAACCACCGGGGTTTTTTAACATTTCATATTTGGTGTTTTTAATAGTTCCCGTTCACTATTCTATTTGTGTTGTTTAATTTAATTTAATTACATTTTAGTTTTGGATGCTGCGGTTGCTTTGCATTTTCTTGTATTTTCATTTGTGTCTTCTCCGTTTGTTGTTGTTTGCGCTGTCGCAACAGCTAGAAACGGTTATACTTATTTGCTTGAGCGGCTTTAAAGAGCTGTTATTGACTCAAGATATGCTCTTGGCGCTAGACACTCAATTTAATAGCCTTAAGCTATTAAATAAGGCTCCTGAAAAACCTCAACTGGTGTGTAGCATCTAGGCGGATTCCTCTCAGAGCCCCAGTCCAGTTCCCTTTCCGGATTACCGGCCGAAATTGGTAAGGCGGATAATCAGCCTGCCTTGCCAAAACCCCTTATGGCAATACTACCAACGAGACAGTTAGTTGTTTCGCGCTTCCCCCTGACCAAACATCGGAAGATGTTATAGCTTTTATCCAAAGCAAAATAATAGCCAAAAAGGAAAAAAATTAAGGTGGAAAATTTCTAATTTGCTCATGATAGGAACATTTCATCTTTCAAAATAAATGTTCATGAGGAATTCTTCGACAAACTATGCTCTGCCCAAACCTGGCCAAAGCATGTGACTGTCAAGAATTCGAAGCAAAGAAAGAGAAAAAGTAGACAGTAGGAACTACTTTTCCTAGGCTCGATTTGAGCACTGCGCCTTCTACGTTTGCAATTAATTCCCAAAAAACTAACCAACTTCCGAAGTTGGCTGTGTGTGTGTGGGGGGGGGGTGTCCTTATAGCGGTCAACTCCATTCTCACGTCCGAATTAATAACTGTCGAGGAGAGCAATGATGTTGAAGTCCTTTGCGTGAAGGTAGTACCATTTTTATTACATTTCCCATTGTCGAAATGTTCTATTTATTGAAACCATCTTTCCGCTATTCATTTGGTCTCTAAAAGACTTTCGGATAGGAACCACTTAGTTAGTAGTTCTTGGTGATTTTACCATTCCCAGGGGCTATTTGGTCCCTAGATAATTCCACTAATACACATCTTACCACAACACATCACAAAAAATGTAGTTTACCAAAGAGCACTTCAATGAAACGGATAATTTGCCGAAGGTGGCGGAACGGAGTTCGCCGGGCTTATTAGTATTATTATATTTATCGAATTTCAAAATTTATTGACATACCTTCTACCCGGTATTAATAGAGTATTAAATTGTAGCTTTGTTGCAACAGGTAAAGGGAGACCCCAAAAAGCATAAATATTTTTGATCAGCATCACCACCCAAGTCGATTAAGCCATGTTTGTCCCTCCGTCTATCATTCCATGTAAAACTACAGGTATTGAAGACAAAAAGAGCTAGAGCGATCAAACTTGCCGAATTTCGGTTTAAAGTTAAAGAAAAATGACATAGATTAATTAAAGTTGTATGAAGGGCTTTATACCGAGGCAAATTGAGGCTATTATAATTTTTTATTTCGGACGTTTGCGACGCAGTTCAGGAGTCATTTCCAAGTTTATAAGGTATACATATTCTTCATGAGCATTAACAGCCGAGTCGATCAATCCACATCTGTTTTGAAGTTATCTGAATGAAACTTTGTAATTGTATTTTTTCTATTTCTATAGTATATAGGTCGGAACGGGCCGACAGAAAAAGTTGTAGAAAAAATTATAACTTTTCCGTTTTTCAATTAATTTTTATCAACTTCGATACATGACCATAGTATAGAATTTCGCTCTAAATAATTTTAACTTTTCTAATTTTCGCCGTATTTGAAACTATTTAAGGCATGAGCATTTTCTATTATTTAAGGATTTCATTTTTAATATTATGAAAATCGGACGACTTCTGTTCTCAACGGGAAACGGGTTTCATTTTTATATATGTATATAGATATATATTTCCTGAGAAACAGATATTTTACACTGTGAAGACTCACATTTTTCTATATATACATATATATCTTACTGTAAATAGTTTTGGTTTGTATCTATAAATTGGTAAATATTATTTCTCAACTGTGTAATGCCGGCGGCAATAGAGATTCCTCAGACGGTCCCTCGCAGTTGCAGATATAGATCGGGAGCGGGTGATAATATTCGCCGCTATGTTGCAGGCCGGTTGGCCTAAGACTTCTCGCAGTTGCAGATATAAATCGGGAGCGGGTGATAATATTCGCCGCTCTGTTGTAGGCCGGTTGGCCTAAGGCTTCTCCAAGGTAAGTTACGGCAGATGATCCACAGGGCGCAGGGGACGTGTCCGCTGCGATGGTCACTAGCCGGTTGGCTGATGAATCTCCCAAACAAGTTATGAAGATTACGGTGGATGGGGGACTACCCTTCTTTAACTACTGGACTAGAGACTCAGAAAGTTTTCAAATGATAAATCTTTAACGACGGTAGTCGGAACATGATAAATCGAGCAGCAGCTCTTTATTGTATGAATATAAAATCAGAACTGAACTTAAAAGCTAACAAAAGTGAATATCATAGCGGCCACTCCAATGGGTAGTGCTTGCCGGCTATGCATGAGCTTCCGGCCAGACGCTGTGTCAGCAGTTTGGCCGGAGCGAGCTTTCGGGCGGACGGTCATTGCCGTTGCCCGGCTGAGTTAGTTAACTACTCCCCCCTCAGGAACAAGGCCGCCCTCGGCCGACCCTATTTGGGCAATCATCTCTGTTATCTGGGCCGCAGATCTCCTGGCCTGGATGACTCGCCGATAGGTCAAGCCGACGCAGATCAACGCGCAGCATATGGTTCCTGCCACTAGTACTATCTGATGTGAACGATAGTCGTTGATATTCTCCCCGAATCTCTTAATATGCTGCAGGTTACGCTCACTCAAGCGGTGAAGGTAAGGAAGACTGAGGATGTTGTGCTCCATCGTAATATTCAAGGAGGGCGAGCTGGCTACTCCTGGGACCCTTTTCTGGGCGTTGTCGTAGTTGACATAACGGGTTTCATTTACAGTGGCACTCTCGGTGAATGTAATGAGATGCGTGCCTCGTATATGGATGTAGGTGCCATTATCCACACTTATACGTGCCGGACGATCATTTACAATTATGATGCCTTCATCTACGCGAGTGACTGGGTGTAGATCGCTGTGCTGGATGTCACAGTGCGCTATGCCCCCAGCATGGAGCTCTTGTGCGCACGACCTTCTTAGCGCCAGCTGGCAAAACGTGGCCCCAGGTGTTGTGGAGCAATTGTTGACCATGTGGATTTCTCCGTTGCAATCGGCTATGTTTCTGTCCTCCAGCCTGAGCATTGTGTCACGATGGGACACGGGAAAGATTGTGATTTTAACGCATGACGATTTTATAATAGGGAATTTAATAACAAAATGCAAAAGGTTAACGGATTGTAATATCTTAACGGAAGCAACGGACAATAAGTCTTTGATGGGGGTTTCTGTGGGCTCTTCTATCCATATATCTTCTAGGTCTGCATGATCTAGTATACTGGGGCTAACGATGTTGGCTTTAGCAAGAGCTATTGCTAGTAATAAGTTCTGCAGCTCCATACTAATCATTCTATTTCGGGATAATAGCATCTCATAAAGATGCTCCGAGTCGATTTGGGCTCCCTTGGCCGACCTCAGAATTTGGATGACGGTGTTAGTAATATTATTAATCTGATCTTGTACTTTATTATTTATATTTATCTGCCTATTGTTTGCATTTATTAATTGAAATTCATTAAGTTTAACTTTTTCAAAATCCTCTGCATCTGGCGTTCCCGCCACAACCTTTAATGCTGCCCCTAGGAAATCGAAGCTCCTAGCTACTCTATGATGGATGCTCAACGAATCGAGCAGGTCACGCAGATGAGCTAC